AACTTTCCCATTACTTCATCTTATGTAAGGATTACTTCATACTTACCTAACATCATTGATCGATCACTTGATCGATCATTAGACAGAACATACTCGGAGATGTCACATGTTGGTCTCGTGATGATTCGAAGCTTTGTTTGATGCATGAGCTTAGTGATATATGCTTTCATCTAACTTTGCAACACATATTTAGCTGGAGTTTTGTGATACTTATTTAGCATTTAACAGGTTTCGTGGTAAATATTCAGTATTTGGCACATAGTTTGGGTTTATAATACACGTTTAACTGAATCATGTATACATGCTTGGCTTGAGTTTCATGATTTGTTTAGCTTGTGTTTCGCTATGCATATTTAATTTAGAATTTCACGCTACATATTTTAATTCAAATTGTAATTATTTTTATTAATCGAATTAATAAAGAATATATGTACAATAGTATATTGCTAAGTATGTATTCGCGTCACTTTTATTACTATGATAAGTATTTAAAATGGATTTTTTATTTATTTTAAAAACTCTTCAATAAGCTATAACGTTTTGACAATAAGTATAAATACGGGAAATGCTAATTATTACAGTTTGGGATATTTCAATTGGTTTGGGCGACATCGCTATAGTTATCAGCTATCGTATGCATCCAGTTCACTAATATCTAACAAAATCAGTATGGTGTTCTTACAAAGCATATCAGCTAATGCTTTTCCTTCATCTAATCGAGGTTTATCTCAACTGTATCTAAATATGTAAGTATAGCGTTGTTATAAAATTCATCAACTAACGTTTTTCCTTCATCTGACCCAAGTTTATATCTAAAGAAACGTATCCTTATAAAGCGTATCAACTAATGCTTTTTTCCATGTATCCAACTAATATCTAAAGAAGTGTATCAGTAATTCTTTTCTTATCAGATTCAAGTTTATTTTTACTGGTATAAAATGCATCAGCTAATGATTTTCAAGTCAATGTGTATTCTTACAAGCTAGTGCTTTTCCTACATTTGAAATCAGTGTAGTGTTTTTATAAAACGCATCAACTAATACTCTTCTCCCATCCGATCTAAGTTTATTCCAACTAATATCGAAAGAAATAAGTATGGTGTTCTTACGAAATGCATCACCTCCAGTTTAACCAAGTAAACGTGATATTCTTATAACGCACATTAGCTAATGCTTGTTCTTCATATGACGATTTTCCGAACACGTGATTTTCCGATGTCAATAGTCTTCGAACAAAAAAATTAGTTTATATTTTGAGTTAGATATTATTTGTGGTTAGAATGAGCTATAGTATAATAAAATTGCACGAGGAATAAGATAAATGCGATTTTTGCCCAAAGCGTGTTTTGAATTTCTTTACGTTACACCTGATCCTGATTTTTGATTGGTTAATTGACGTCGGAAAATCATGTGATCGGAAAATCGATCCTACGCCCTGGTGTTGTTGCTTTTCCTCCATCCGGTCCAAGTTTCTTTCCACTAATCTAAAGAAGTCAGCGTGGCGTTCGCACAAAGTACATCTATTAATATTATTATAATTAAGATTCAAAGTTAGAATAGCGTCCTGGTTAAGTGCTTTTCTTTATTGCTGAAATTCTAAGAAGTCAACGTGGCATTCACGCAAAGTAAATCCGCGACTGCTTTTCCTACCTCTGATCCAAGCTGGTCAGAGTAACGTTCTGGTAATGTGCTTTTCTTTACTACCGAAATTCAAAGAAATCAGTGTAGCGTTTATACAAAGTATATCTGCTAATCTTCTCCCTACTTCTAATTCAAGCTATTAATATTCAAAGAAGTCAGGGTGTCGTTCTGGTAAAGTCTTTACAGCCAAAATTCAAAGAAGTCATCGTAGTGTTCTGCAAAGCGCAGCTGCTAATTTTATATTATTGAACCTAGGCCGAAACCAAAATTTCCGAACGTCGATATTACTTGTGCCAATCCATTATCATGTAAATGCGCGGCAGATCCTCGATTTTGACTGGCCAACGGCCGTGGATCTTTAATATTTTGGCCTGCATTACATAATTGTTTACTAATTTCTGGTCGGAATTGACTTTTTTAATTTTTCATTACAAAATAGCCAGAAACAATTAGGCGGCTGCGATTTCATTAGAGTAATTCCGGCCTAATTTTTTGATCGTCGCTCTTAGCCAATCAAAATCGAGGATCTGCTAGGTTCAATTAATTTTCTTAAATAAAAAAATTTTAAAAAAAGCGATACGATAGCTGAATTAAAATTTTGGAGCCGAACACAGGTCGAATTTTAATTAGCTGATTTGGTTGTCAAATGATTTGACGGACCATATAGTCAAATTTAGGAGTGACACAAATTTTGGGGTATTCCTCAAATCGGCGGATACGTATGCCCCAGAATGTCCTAAACTAAATTCGGTCAATTGTTCACATTTTCAAATCCTAATTAGGAATTATCGTTATAATAAATCATGCCTTCTTAATAACTTGCGTGAGTGTGCATATAATAAATTTTAAGTAATGTATATATAGTTGATTGTCATGCGATTTTATTGAAATAATCGCTATGTGGCGGTAATTATAATCTTTGAGTGCTCAATTTCTATTTAGGTTAAGCAAAGCAGGTTTTGATGTGAGACTGGAAATAAATATAAATCTGCTGAAAAAAATAAACGGTTTTAACACATTCTAAAAATTCCAAAAATGGGTTTCGACATATTTTTTTAAAATATTCAAAGGAAAAAAGGAGTGATATCTATTGGGTATTAAATATGGGTTATTCTTAGAAAATTTTTTTCAAACCTAGAAGATTGATTCCGAATCAACTGCTGTTGTTGTGATTATTAATGAGTCGTCATATATTAAAGGATTAAGGTTCGAAGTCGACGTTGTTGAATTGTTAAAGAGGTGGCCCCCAAAATTACGTTTACGGAGGAAGCGATTGATACGGCCTGCAAGTCTAAATTTAATATCATCTTAACCGACATAACCCATATTCCTAAAATCATCCTTAATCTCACTCTAGATTCTCTCCAAAATAGACCCTTTAGATTTTCTTTTTATTACGATCTTGTTTTCAGTGAAAGACCATTTATTTCGTCACATACAAATTTACTCTTAGATAATGATGATAATGATGATTAATTTCTTATATGACCATTAATTTCGTTTTTATATTTTTCATTCTTTAATACGTTCCTATCCATTATCTATTAATTTCGTTTTTATATTTTCATTCTTTAATACGTTTCTATCCATTAATTTCGTTCTTATATTTTTCATTCTTTAATACGCTTCTATCCATTAATTTCGTTTTTATATTTTCATTCTTTAATACATTAATTTCGGTTTTATATTTTCATTCTTTAATACATTAATTTCAATATCGCATAAATCACATGGACTTTAACCAATCATATTTCAATTATTTCAATATCAGGTTAATGTGAATATCAATTAGATCGTCGAGTCTGTATTATTAGGTTAATGGGTTGGGTTAACTCAAACCTCCAGTAAACTAGACTTGCTCCAGTGGTTTACTCCAGGTTGCTCCATAGCTGCTCCGGGTTGCTCCAGGTCACTCCAAATTTAAAAACATAAATCTAAACCCACTCCAACTTGGGTTGGGTTCTATTCCGGAGTGCTCCGTAGCAAGCTACTCCATTAACAACCCTACGTTTATACAATTGGTATAATACCCATATAGGGTATAGGTATAATACCATAATTAAACCCAATTTAGCCAATTAAATCGTTTTATTTGAAGACGCGAAGATTTCCGATCTAAACAAGCTAATTTCAGAAAGATTCCGAACCATATTAAACTATATAGAAGCAAAATATTGGTTATACCGTATTATATAATATTATACAGTATTATACCTGGTATTATACTACCATTTCTATTATACCGGTATAATAAAAACCCTACCTGTCCGGTTACGTCATGTGACGATCGTCAAATGATTTTCTAAGTGTGATGTCTCATATTACAGTAAATCCCAAAGTTATATCCTTGATGCCAACATTCGAATGGTTGCGATCCTAAAGTGATTATGAAAAATACGTATGGTTTGGTAATCTATATTTGTACATACAATAATACAATAGAATTTTATGCATATTGCTTGGCTTGAATTGCATGCCACTGTAGGGATGTTATGTGGTCCGGTCTTAGACTAATAGACCACAGTTAGTCTTAAGCCCGGTCTGGACCTAAAAAAATTTGTCTGCTCTAAGCCTTAAGACTGGATCGGTCTGGACTAACAAAGTCTTAAGACAGAAGACCATAATAGATCAGACCAGACCAGACCAGACTGAACTTGGACCAAAATTGACCAGACTGAACCAGACCGGAATGTTAACATCCCTACATCATGCCACCAGGGTATGCCAAATAACTTGCATTTAAACCATATTTTTTGAAAAAGACGAGATATATTTTAAGGTTAATTTGGGATTTCATAATATTAAAGATATTAGTGTAGAGTATTTTGAATGGATAGGATCTATGATTCTTGATCACTTTTAAGGATGAGGTTTAAACCTTAATTGTGTTTAATTCTATCCCACGAAGCTATTTATGTTTCGTGCACAAATACAAATACGAGAAAGCTTACGAATGTATTGATTTAATAATTAGTAGCCATCAATAAGAAACGTGATTTATACAATTTTATCGCTAATTCAGTATTATCAAATACGACTTGTCTTATAACAAAAAAATTTCCATTACAATAGATTGACAGTCCGAACTTTTTTTTTAAAGCATAATCCATTCGGATCCTTCAATATCAACGCGTTTAACCTCAAAAATCTTTTAAGAGAAAATGAGAATACTATTTTATTAATCACAGTATATATAAAACTAATGGTAAACTTTTTTTTTCTTTAAAAATTTATTAATCTACTTTTAAATTTAAAATTTTAATAAAAATTATAGAATAGGTTTTTCTGATTCTAATGGTAACATTCAAGAATATTTTTAAAAATTATTAATAAATCGTGCGAAATATAATGGAAATTATCTCAAGAATTATTTTCATTATTAATGGTGATAGGTGGTTCTTCATCTCCTGTAGCTTTATCACTTGGATACATTTTGCGATAGCAATACATTATGGACAGATAAATCCTCCAAATTCCATTAAATACTACCACTGCTGTCGCAGAGATTAACGCAAGCAGCGGTAATAGATCGATGTATGGTGCTTTGTTAAAATATATTACCTTTAAACAAAAAAATAAATAAATAAATAAACCGCATTAACATCCTGTTTCTTGAATAATAAGCTAATTTCAAGCTTACCAGAATAACAAATTGACTGAGATCTTTTTTCAATAACGCAAGAAATCCAATCCAAAAAATCCAATTTTTAATGTTATTCGAGAAAGGAGCATTCAAACTTTCACTACCTCCAATTTTTGAGCACAATACTTCCAGTGAGTATATATCCACGAAGCTTAGCAATGTGAATATTCGTCCTATAGTACGATGTTTTCTCCACCAATTGGAAAATGCGCTATTATTTTGACGTTCTCTACGGATTAAGAATAGACCGAAAGCTTCTTTTAAAACCGTGGAAGCGACTATGATCACGACACTAAAGTATGGAAAAGAAATTTTGGTTTGCGAAATAAAGATAAAAGTTTCACAAGAATGAAATATAGTATAGGTGACACTACTCTAAATGATGATTAAAGATGTCACCTATACTGGAAGATAAATAACCTTGGCAAATAAACCGATTCTACGTTTCGTGCATAGTATATGGTAAAAAGAATAAACAGAACAAGGTTGATAGCACTAAGAATGAATTTTAATACCGGACCAGCTTCGGACTATTAATTAATGCTAAGCATGAGAATTTTATAAAATACAATAGCAATCGAGATAATAATAATAATTTTTTACATTTGGGTCTCTGCAAGAACAAGAAAGAAACGCCAAGGCCATTATAACAAGTATTGCAACAAATAAAAACAAGAAAAAAATGCCAAGGCCATTATAACAAGTATTGCAGCAAATCCCATAATAACATGTTAATTCACTGATAAAAAATTGGATTATTAAAGATAATGATTAGAGAATAGGATAATAGGATAATAGAATAATAAAAATGAAATTCATACGAGCACCTCTTTGGAATTGTATTAAGAGATATATAATCTGACATTTTTTTAATAGTGAATAATAATTTTTGATCTATTGATCCATTTGGATAAAACAACTACCAAAATGTTCGTCTCAATTAAATGATCCTGACGAGCCTAAATCATCAAAATTCAATTAATGAATCCAAAACAGTTGAAAGCTTTTTGCAGCATGACGCATCTACAATGTGGTTAGTTTATAGTCTAACCAATTGTCCCACATTGTAGACGCGCCATGCTTATAGTTGTTAAACGAACCCTTTTTTGCTTTAAGAGTCGAAACCTAAGCCTTAAATGACGAAACCTCTATCGAAAGTCGAGACCTCAAATCCTTCTGACGAAAGTCGAAACCCTCAAATCCTGACGAAAGTTGAAACCCCAAACCTAAAATGACGAAACCCTAGTGTTCCCGCTAAAAAAAAAAAAAAAAAATGATGATTACTAAAAAATCTATGTTATTAACAAAACTCCGGTGCTCCTGCTAAAAAATTGATGAAAATCTATGTTTTCGACAAAGCTAAGCTATTAATAAAAATAAACCTTATAAATTTATATTTAAACAAAAAACAATGATTTTTTTTGAGGCTTTTTAGGCTTTTTATTTATATTTAATGCTGAAGATGTTTATTGGCTTGACCTGGCTTGTATATTTAATTTTTTTAAAAAAATTTTCACTAGAAAATTATAAGACACGGCAATAAAGTTTAACATCATATTTTAAATTAATAATTCTAAAATTTGTTAAGTACGTAATTTTCTATGTAATATTATCGCAGTTTTCGAAATAGAAAAAATTTTTTTGTGTATACTCGTATACCGGAACATCGATGGAGGATCGATATGTGTACTTATTGTTTACCTGTTACTAAAACAATTACACGTCTAATTGTTACAGGTGCAGCCGGTATACAAGTATACACAGTATACGGGTATACACCAAAAAAATTTTTTTTGCCCGATTTCTACTATTTCGAAAACCGCGATAATATTTTTTAATCGAAACACTGAAATATGTATGTTTATTATTAATTTTCTTATTTGTGCTGATTTGATTAAGTTTCATACTAAGCTTCATATTAAAATTAATCTAAGTATAAATTATATATTTTAAATTTTAGCCCTTAATTCGATCAAAAAAATTTTTATTTATTATAATTCTATGTATCCACAGAATTAAAATAAAAATTTTTATCAAGTTTTGTTAATTGGTTGTCAAAAAATCTTTGTTAAGAAAAAGAAATATTGTAATGAATTTTTCATTTAAACTTAAACTGAAGATTCTCAACAAAAAACTATGAAAATTTTTATTGTAATTTTATGAGTTCATAGAATTAAAATAAAAAAATTATCGAGTTTGGATGGTTGGTTGTCAAGAAATATTCATTAAAAGTTAAAAAATAAAATAAAATTTGAATGAAGTTATTTGGCACTTACCTAGTCAAATTCAATCTTTTTTTTTTTTTTATCTTAATTCTATAAATTATAGAATTAAATAAAAAAATTTTGATCGAATTTGACCAGGTAAGTGCTGAGTAATCTTCGTTCAAAAGTTTAGACGTCTTTAAAAAGAAGTTGCAGGCAACATTTTTTTTTTACTTTTAACGAATATTTCTCGACAACCAGCTATTCAAATCCGACCAAAAATTTTTATTATAATTCTATGAATACACAAAATTAATATAAAAAAATTTCATAGTAAATTATTGAGAAATCTTTGTTTAAAGCTCAAAGAAAAAATTTACTTGTTTTTTTTTTAAGATTTTTTTTAAAACATTTAGCGATGATTTCTCAATAATTACTAAATTAAATTCAATTAACTTTTTTTATTTTGATTCTACAAAACTATTGAATTAAAATATTCTATGAATTCGATCAAGTAGATCATCGCTACGTAGAAGTTTAAAAAACTTTCAATTTTGTTTATTATTATGTGGCGTGTGCCAAACATCAGAAAATCATTTGACGATCATCACATGGCATAACCTCCAGGTTTCGTCATTCATTTTAGTATTTTTCAATATTGTGAAGGGAGGTATTCTGGCGGAGTTTAATAAAATATTACTAATTCCAATTTTTATTTCAAAATAATATGATTTGATTCTAATATAAAAAAAAATCAAGTTGTCTTGTGTTTGCACAATTTTTATTAGTGCGAAGTAGCTTCAACGGTCAGGAGGGTAAAGTGGTGGATCGATGGATCGACATAAATTAACGAAGCAACAGGTACTTGCTTCCTGTTAAAGGGTATTTGTATGATTATTTTGCAATTCGTTGATCATAATTGAATGTTTTATGCACCATTCGAGTAAGATGAATCGAATGGCATAAGAATCATTAATTTCCAATTGATAAATCGTGTGTATAGAAGTTGACCCGCCACTTTCCCACCTCCGCCAAATTACCTCCCTTCACCTTATAAGGGTATTGTGGTCAAGTGAAAAATATCTTGCGATCCAGTGATCAGAATTAGATGATTTTTACACCATTCGATTCGTCTCTTTGAGACGAATCGAATAGTGGTGCAACAATCACTTGACCACAATACCCCATCTCCCTTATACAGTCAAGCCTCTATAAGTACACGCTCTTGGGACCGCACTTTAACAACGTGCATATAAAGAATAATAAGAAAAGGTGCATTTATAGAGGTTAAGTATATATTTGGGCCAGCACTTGAGGATGCATTTAGAGAGGATGTGCATTTATAGGTGCACTTAGAGAGGTCTGACTGTATTTAATTGTAAATCTCATTCTAACGTTAATACAAAACTTTTAGCCTGGTTAAGCCGATTTTAAAGATAATTACAGTTATCACCCCTTTTGCCCAATAGTTTTTGGATATATAATGTAGGTAGAGATACTGTATAACAAGGTAAAATCCAACAAATATGACATTTATTATGCTAAATAGTGAGGATATAACTTGACCGTAATTTTAACGTTAACAAAAATTTTATCAAATTTTTTTATAGTCCACTAATTTTCCAAATTTGAATAAACTTCGAATTCTGACTGCTTTTTAATCATTGCATCTATGCAGATAAAATTTTTGACCTTTCTTGATGTATTCTATAACGCTATAATACCATTTTCATTTTCTATATATTATAAGATAAACCAATCAACGCTAAATAAAAAAGAAAAAAAATAGCATTGTAGCATTATAGAAATCAACGTCTCAGTGAGATTATTAATATTGTTACACGAAATGATAAAAAATCAGTGAATGTCTAATTGTAACATGTTAATAATCATAACATTACTTCGCAATACAGTACGTATCAGTATTTACAGTATTAAGTTTATTAATAATAACATATTTCGATTGACATCACCCTCCCTACGTTATTCTAAATAAACTTTGGTGGTAAGAGAATTCAATGAATTATAACCGAAATTATAGTTTGTCAATTCTTAAACTCGTTTTATTGTAGAATAACTGATCCGAAAAATATCCTTTTTAAATTAAGATTCACGAATGTAAAGTTAAGATTTCAGAATATACAATGCGATTGAAGTTATTCCTTTAAGGCGTAATAAATTTCTCGAATTAGTCAAAAGATACAAATGTGTGAAAGCATTATGCACAAATGTTATTAGATTAATCGATAAATTAGTGGATCGATTGTTGAGTATGGCCAACAATTAATTGACTTTATAGTCAACCAACTAATCACCTGCGTTCTTGGATTCAATTTTGTATCACTAAATTGAAATCGACTTATAGTCGACTAGTGATGCGGTAAAATCATCGCGACTTGCCGTAACTTGGCGTAACTATAGTAAGTAATATAGTAACTTACGGCTACGTATAATGCCGTAACTTACTATATTATTTACTACAGTCACGGCAAGTTACGGAAAGTTACGATAAACATTGAGATTCTACCGCATCACTATAGTCGACCAACTAATCGCCTGCGTTCTTGGCTACAATTTTTGTATCACTAAATTGACTTACATGACCTGAACCGCAAACTTGCTCCTTTATACCTCCAAATTAAGTAATTTGCATTTACTCCTGCTTTAATTATGTAATGAAAATCTAAAACCAAATTAGAACTTTACATGCATGCATTTTGTCCTGACGTGCTTATAAATTTTAGATATTTCATGTATAATAAAAAAGTATATATTATAAGATTCATAATTTAATTTTAATTAGTGTAAGAAATTCTAAATACAAGAAATGAACAAATATAAAATAAAAAGTTATTGAAGATTTATTTAATCATCATATAATCCGAAGGAACCACAACACCACCAATTATGCGCAAAAGTAACAACAGGCAAGCAATAGGAAAATAGCAGATTTCCGCCAAAGCCACCATTCATTCGTAAATAATCATTATCATTCTTTTTTCTTACATTATTCAACAGCATTTCATCAAGAATGCTGTCATTTTCACCATCCCCATCATGCATATCATGCTCACCATTCGAAATTTCTGATGTAGTAGCATTTAAATTTCTATTTTGAGCTAAAAAGGGAAGATTCCATTGATTTGGCATTGAATTATTTTTGGATGTAATACTTGAAGATTTCCATAATAACCATAATCCTTCATCTGATTCTTGTGGATCATGTGTCTCGCCATCCTCATTTTCGAAATTTATATCGGGTGATAAATCTTCTTGGGGGTGATAACCTAATGTTGATAATGGTGTTCCTTGAATTGAAATAATGAAAATATTTTAAAATAATAGTAGGTGTCATTGTTTACGAATAAATTTATTAAATTTAAATTTCACCTTCGAATCCTACAGATTTATTAACATGCTTATTGCCTTGAGATACAATTTCAGCTAATTTTGATTCTACAAGTCATGTCAATAAAAAATGTAAGTGATAAATTTTAAAAAATTATAGTATGATAAATAATAAACGTTACCTAATAACCCAATATGTCTTTCAAAATCTGTTTGTAACCCCCATGATATTCTGCTGCTTTTTCGGGAATGTCTAGAAACCGTATTCGTCAATGGAAGTGGAGGTGGTGGTGTTATCACAAAGCTACTATGTTCTTGTTGTGGTTGCTTATGTTTTTGTGGATTCCATATAACATCATTCTAACCGTATTAAAATTAAATCGATTGAATTAAATAAAAAAATAATAATTAAAAGATCATTATTAATTTAAAAAACTAACATCACGAGTTTCTTCGTTAGCATCGGATGCCTTTTGCCAAAATACGTCTTCAGATTGATCAGGAAATACTTTTTTATCAATTATTTTGGTGGGATTAATTAAATTAGATACTTCAGTTGACATTGCCAAAAGTAGGGATGGCAAATGTTTTAAAACGTGATTTTAGAACTGATGATTGTTTTATGGTTTAAAATGTTTTTTAATCAATCTAAAGAATATAGCGCTTAATGCTGGGCCCAAAATTTACCGGCCAAAATGCAATAATTTTAACTTCAGTTAAATTTTAACATCAGCTTCGATGTTTTAAAACCTTTTTTCAAACAATTAAAAACATATAAAAAATGGTTTAAACCGTTTTTTTACCATCCCTAGCCAAAAGACAGAATGCACAAGATTTGCGTAGACTCTAAATATATATCTGATATATATATTCTGGGTAGTACAACATTAAAAACCTAATTCGAAAAAATTACGTGATTATGTTACACAACATAATCATATAAAAAAAATTTTTTTTTTTTTCAATACCTAAAAAGATGGACGTTTCAGCACAACTTGAAGTTCAAAAATCTAAATAGTGAGTTTCATCTTTATCACCAATTTCCATGTGAATATTTCTAAATTCCGTTTCTTTAATCAGCAAATCAATAAATGTTGAAAAACAAGTCCCATTACAGTTCGATCTCGGATTATTAGCTGGTTTTGATATAAATGCTTTGGAGGAAAATAAATTAAAGTAATTTTAGACAACAATTTATGAATTTTTTATCTGTTCATTGCCGATAATTTAAATAAATCTATATATTTAGAACTGAAACTGATAATTATTTAAAATCCTATACCCGCGACGGCACTCAACTCTTAATCAACGAAATATTTCAACTTCCTCTAACTTCGATACAGGACGTCGGTGTGGTTACCGAGCTACCAAAGATTGTAACCGCCATCCCACGAGAAAAACCTGTATGTTAAGAATTTAACATTCATTGTCTTTGTTTTTCTACTTTTTTAACTTTATTCTTTTTTTTTAAAAAAAAAAAAATAGCTGCCAAAACCAAAACCACCAACACGATGGGAACGATTTGCAAAACTTAAAGGAATTAAAAAGAATAAAAAGAGTAAATTAATTTATGATGAAGCGAAAGGAGAATGGGTTCCTCGGTGGGGATATAAGGGCGCAAATGATGATGGCTCCAACGAATGGTTGGTGCCCGTACCCGATAATGCAGGTTAGTTTTATCATTTTTAATGATTGCAATCTTCTATTTTCTACATTTATTTAACATGCTTTTTTTTACAAAAACAAACAGATCCGTTTGAAGACCAATTCTCTAAATTACGTGAAGCTAAAAAAGGGCGAATTTCAAAGAACGAGGCACGCCGTCGAAGAAACATAGAAGAAGCAGAAACTGGTGCGAACAAAAAAACAGAATTGCGCCAGCAAATTTCCGTTGCAAAAACGGCAACTGCTAGTCTTGGAAAGTTTGATAAGCCTATTAAGGGTGAACCATCAAATACGAAAGGCGTTAAAAGAAAGGTATGAATCAACGAAGAATGTATTTATTTTATAACAGCCGCACGATTTGTCATACTAATTAAAATAGTAAAAAATTTTTATATCAAATTTTGCGATTAAATAAATCAAATAAGCAAAATAAAATTACTCAAAGCATCACTTTAAAATTTTGTAAAAATTGTACAATTTGAATATGTAACTTTGCCAGAAATAAAATTTAAAGTGATGTTTATATGTAAAATTTTGTTTGAACAAGTTTACTTAAAGAATAAAAACAGATTGTCTTGGTAAAAAAATAAGTTAGCTATTTACTAATCTATGTATAACTTTTTTTTTTTACCAAGACTACATATTTCTATTTCTTAAGTAAACTTGTTCAGCACAAAACTTACACGTATAGTTCATTGGCATCTATTTTTTTTTAGACCTTTTTACTAAATGAAAAAATGTTATAGTAATTATACGTTTTTATGTTTTTAATAATATAATTAATTTTGTGACAAATCGTGTGACTAATAAATGAACTTTGACTAATGTGATTCTTACGGCAATCTATTTAGTTTGAACCGAACCTAGGAGATGTACAGAAAGAAAAGGAAACTAGATTAAATATACTTAATAAAATAATTGACAAAAAAGGCGAAATTGTAAACGTTAGAAAAGTAAGCCAAAATATTACTTTTTTTTTTTTTTTTTGTATTATGCTCTTTATTCAAACTTACCTATTTTTAGGCAATTGCAAAAAATAACCAACAAAATTAATAAAGCAGGCATATCAAATAATTGATTGTGAAGAAATTAATTGAAATTATTTAATTAAAATTAATTGATTTCTGATAGTCACACAAAGTCAATTAATTGTAATTTTTATACCAAATTAATTGGATTACATACAGTATAATGTGCTAATTGTATATATCAAACTTTGTCTAATTGCTGTTGCGTTAACTTCGGCGTTTCTTCATGAAAACTTCCCTTTTCAAGGGCACGCACATCTAATATAGATGCAGACTTATTTACTTCATTAGTTACGGCATTATTTTATAACCCGATTTGACATAACTTTATATAGGATGTAAATAAGTGATTCGTAAGTCTACATCTATGAGGCCTTTCATTTTATATTGGTCCCAATGATGCGCATAAGTTCCGAACAAACGCAATGCCATGGCCTTTTTTAGGCCCACAATGATAGCAAGCGTCAATGTAATTTATGTCCTCCTGGATCACAGCCAATAACCAAACCCAAAGAAAAAGAGCTGGTTACACAACTTCTTGTCCGGAGCGGAGTGGATGACTTTACTGCCCAGAGCTGTAACGGGTGTCCCCCATTAGGGTGCAAAATCTATATAGATGATACCAAAATCTACTTTCATATAGTGAGAAAACACTGGGTTAGAGGGCTGGTGGTTTAAATAGATAACCCCATAGTTGGGTGCAGGTACAGCAAATAGTGTAAACCCCTTAGTATAGTACTAATACTTTAATGTTTAGATCGGAGTGGAAGTTTTATCATCCAGACTTGTGGTACCCTTGTTAGATAATAACAGGATACTTTACAGTAAAAAACACTCCTTTTCGATTTTACAAAGCAATAAAGTAACAAAAAAAAAATAATTAATAAAACAACGATACAATATATTCATTGGCATCTGGTATAGAATCATATATCACAGTTGAATGTTTATATTGGAAATTTACGATTATCTTTATTATTTAAATGAAATAAACTTTACATTAACAAATAACTGATTATTAAATTATTTTGATAGTGAAAATTGAAACAGGTAAGAACGTTGATGTTATACGTATGACTGATTTTTCACACAGTGTGCAACATATAAAAAAATAATTTTACAATACCATATTATTATAATCCAACACCATTTTTACTAATAAAAATGGTGTTGGATTATAATCATAACATGTACTAGCGGAATGATCTGGTATTGTAAAATTATTTTTTTATATATTGCACACCGTGTGAAAAATCTGAAGTATAACATCAACGTTCTTACCTATAGGGGATATGTGGGCAATCGATTGGGATCGATATAGTGTAATGACGGATGGGATGATTAATTGAATGATTAATAATAATAATTATAAGTTTATGAGAAATGACGTAAAAATGTAATTAATAAATTAATTTACATACTCTTATACATAGTACGAGGTAAAGTTGTTTTCGGATTATCCTAAAATAAAAAGATTTGTTCTTGGATGTCCTAAAATTCCTAAATTGTCCTATATTTTTACTAATGTGAAAGTACTAACTATTGACGTAAATACACTTTTGGAACACGCTCCAAGCTGCAGATCTACAACGTACTGGATACAAGACGTGGGTCCGTTATATTTCACCAACTTTAAAACCTATATTAGACCCGCGGGTCTCTATGGGTGGGTCTAATAATTGGAAAGTTTAAAAAATTTTTTTTTACTTCGTTTTTAAATTTAATTAATATAATACTGTAATATGTATTGAGAATACAATTTTATTGACTTCGTTTTTTTTAAAATAAAATTTATTTTTTATTTATTAATCGTGCTATATCACGAATATACAAACACTTATGCTACATCCCGAATCTATCTAACTCTTGTCCCAAATCTACCAACTCTAATCCTAAGTCTACCTATTATTCTTACATTCATTCCGAATCTATCTAATTATTGTGCTAAGTTTGTTCGCTAATATGCTACATTTGTCCTAATTATCATGCTACGTATATACCTAACTATCTTGCTATCTCTATCTATCCCAACTATTTGTTTTTAATATTATGCTACGTTTAATCTTAAATATCTTGAGTTCTCTTCTGCAAGCCATACTGATACCTATACAAGATTTAAATTAAAATATAAAAGTTGTAGTATTTAAATCTTCGTTTAATACAAATATAAAATAGTACAAAAAAAAAATATCTTAGGTTGACTAATGACGATTCTTAACCTCCAATATGAAGTAAATACCTTTTTTTTAGCCTCTCATTTACTTTGGCAAAAAAAGTTTGCCGCCGTTGATTAATTTTGATTATTGAAACTAGGCGTCTTGAAGTATGTGTTCGAAGCTTACTAGAACTTAATAACTATTAAAAATTTTTTTTTTCAAATCGTACGATGTTTGAGGAGAAAAGGACATGTGAGAGCCAATCAAATTCAGAAATCCGTTTGTAGATCATTCTAGAACGTGATTTCTTAATTTGGTAAATCCCCTGACTGTATTATAAATCTATACGTAATAATTACCGCATAGGCAATTTTAATCACGTAATATGTAAAGTTTATTAAATTTTTCGTTCGCTAATTACTGAAATTGTCGTAATTTTGATAACATGATGTCGATACGTAATTATTCATTCGCTTAATTATTTTTGATAAAATATAAAATAAAGTATAATCGAACCTAAAAATTTTATAACATACTACTGTACTAAAAATGGTTAAAAAAAAGAAAGTTGAAATATGGGGTCAATACATATACTATGTGGATAGACGAAAAAAAAGAAAAGAACGTTACAAATGCAAAGCACGTAGTAAGGAAGTGGCAAAAAATATAACAAGATTACAGAAGCATTTTGATATACAATAAATGATGGTAATAAGAAAAAAAAATATAACGATATTGTAATGACCAACCGGGTTATGTAAACCCAAAAATTTTTTTTATGGCCTAATTATATTTTATAAATATATTTTAAGTTTTAACTTTGAAATACGTACTAGATTTAAAATAGTTAAATTTATTACATGTAAGATTATTACTTTTTTCTACTCTTTATACTAGAAGGTTTGTACGAATCAGGATTGAGATTGATTTCTGGATGACGAGATATCGATATTACAAAGAGTTTAAAATTGTTGAAAATAAGCAAAAGTAAAAAGAAAATAAAATCTATACATCATTTTATCATATACTCTTTATATTTACAAAAAGCTTTCAAACTATTAATTCTTTCATTTAATTTTGACTATTTTTTTTTTTTTTGACTACTCTGTATGTTCGTTATCAGGAATTTCATAAATAGGAAGAGAGATATAACAGTTTCTACTTGTTTTCTCAAAATATATAATTAATTATTATAATTACGTGGATTGTAATTATTTCAGCTCTCGGTCCCAACTTTGTTTAGCACTTCTTTTTAAATGACTTGAATAATAATCATATCATACATGTTATTAAAATTATAAGCATTATGTAAATTTTATTAAATATTATTTTGCTATAGATCTTTGTTTATTAAATAGTACTTTCCGCTCAACAAGTGTTAACATGTATGATAACAGGATTGTATTCTGATTTTCCCATGGTGTTTTGTTTATCAAAAATTCTTTTCGTTCAACTGGTATATTATAAATTATTCTCAAATCGATTGGTGTATTGGCATGCATGATAAGAGGAACTGATAAAAATGAACACGAAGATAAAAAAAACTATATTTTTCAAACAAATATTTAAAAAAAAAACAATGAACTCGATTAAACAAGAGAAGTTAATTATTTTAAATATTTTACATATTTATTTATACTGTATATACAATTATACTTGAACAAATTTATATTTAAAGGCATATATTTTTTATACATTCAAGTTCAACATTAAAAGATATTATTTATTTAAATCTACAAAATTACTCATTTAAAAACAAAATTAAAATGCCTAAGGTAAAAAGAAATACGAAGAAACGTCAAATACAAAATGCAAACGATAATTTTTTATCATCTCAAATTGAAGACTTAAAAAAAGAAATTGTAATCATGAAAGAACGAATAGAACAAATAGAAGAAAATGAAAAGTTCTCAAACATTAGAATTATCTTTCTTGAAAAGGAATTAGATAAAGAAAGAAGGTAGATTTATATTTATATATAATATGATTATCTAAAGGCATATAATTTTAATATCGGTATTTATTTTAGTAATAGACAACAAGAAATATTGAATAAAATCTACAAAATCGGATTGTAAAACCGAATTTAAATTCATATCAATATGTACTATTTTTTTCAAAGATATTAAATAAAAATACACCAAATGCTTTTAATTAATTTTCACAGATTTATAAAACAACTAACAATGAATATAATGGTATTTATTATAATAATTTCTTATATTATTGAAAGTCTATAATAAATTATTTATTTAATGATTTATCTATAATAAACATTTCAATATAATGTTTCATCTTCATCAACCCTCTTCCCATCTTTAATTTTTCCACATTCCAAACATAAATTATGATAATGAGATCCTCTATTAATATTACAAGTAGAACATGGACATGATTTATCTGTTGAATGAATAGTATTTGTAGTACGAGCCATAGATTTAAAAGTATCGTAAAAGGAACAGAAATCGTCATATTTACATTTAATGTTTCTAACCTCATACTCTTTAACTCTTATAAATTTTACACAAAGATCGCAGATTCTATAATACTTATCATAAATAAACTTTTTACTATAAGGATATAAATTAATACGTTCAGAATAGCAATAAAATTCTTTATATTTATCACGTCTGATTTTATGACGACCATTTTCACCTTCTAGTCTAATCCAACCACAAACTCCATTTCTTGTTGGAAAATTATACATGATTACATTTGTAATTTCTTTAATAATAAATCTTTGATAATAGTCACTATGTCCTTCCATTACATGTTCTCCGGGAATAATTTTATTAATTGGACCCGAAAGCATAACATGTCTTTCATTCTCTGAATGAATAGTATTAAACGCCATTAGATAAGACTTCGAAATACCACGTGATATTAACCGAGCTTTGAACGATAAATGTTCAAGTATTATCTTATTTATTTCAGACGAAAAGGAATTCATTTTTTTATAATGTTAATTTAATAAATAAATGACAGTTTAAATATTAATAATAAATATTTGATTGACATAAAGTAAAACTAATATGAAACAGTAATTATTTAAACTTAAATACTAGTCACGTGATGGTAATAAAATAAAGATTACTGTTATCCGATAACAGTAATCTTTATTCAGTAGGCCGACGGCCTACTGCGTTAGCGAAGCTAACTGTAGCGAACAGTATTGCGAAGCAATACGACAAGGCTTGTTACTTACGTATATTATCAACGATAATATATTTCACGTGTAGTATATTATCAACGATCTGGGCGATTATTTTAAGAATAATTGCACGTGTACTTTAGTACACGTGCAATATATTAAAACGATCGCTCAGACTATTATACGTAAGTAACAAGCCTTGTGTGTATTCTACTCTGGAATACTAGTGATATTGATGAGGGAACAGATCATTACCAAAGTTCAAACATTTTTTTCCTATAGGAACGCGCGAGACCAGAAAATGATCAGCTACCCGGCAGTCACACAAACCAGTGTCGGGAATTTCTCACATCTCACAGATCACGAGCTGTCGTCCCATTATGGAGAGATTACCAAAAAACTTCCCTGGCAAAAGATTACACAAGTGTAACGTTACATTCGATCGTCAAAAAAGTGCCCCGAGTGATGACTGCGAGGGTCTTCCGATAGGGAAAAGTCACGTGTTTGTGTAGCGAGCACTTTTTTTGACGATCTCGTGTAACATCTCATATCATTGGCTGTTCGCGTTTCCGAAACCGTCTAGCCCAATCGCGAGACGAGAAATTCACGAAAAAAATCTTAGGGTTACCTTATTAAGCATCGATATACATTCTAATGTTCGGTGCATGTCCGAGATCGTCAAAAAAGTGCTCCGCGTTCTTCCGGTACTGCCCTGCCTTTTATATCCGGACAATCTCCCATATCAAGCAACTGGTGCTACCACAGGTTACCATATTCACTCGTTCGATTCTATCCCATACGACGTCCTATTGGCCTTCGCGTGATATCGGGAGATTTCACATCACATCTTCCCTCACTCGATTTCAAGTTGGTCATTCCTCACTACACTGCCATTTCACTTTGGGAACAACCAATAGTTTTCATTACTCATGATTTAGGGTTAGGGTATTAAATCACCTGAGTTGAGCAGATACGGGACAACGGCAGGATCGTCAACTATAATACTGTATTATACCTCAATCCCTGGGTTTAGCACATGCGGGACAACCGAAGATCCGTCAATTCAAAATATTTGTGTTTCGTGTAACTTATTTTATAGCATTAACTCGAACGCAACTCTATCAGATTATGTACATTGTTGTATTTGTAATGATTAAATCCATTTTAATATTATACAATAAAATGCTTAAAAAGAAATTAAAAATCAGTGAGAGCAATTTAAATTCTTAAAACTAGGTTCTAAAATTCTAGACTTTAAACTCTATTCTCTATATAACATAAAAAATTTTTATCTGTACACATTCAGTTTAAGATATCAATTAAAAAAATATAATGAAATTGTTAATGACTTATGTAATCTGTATAACGAAGAAAGGTCCAAAGGTAAAAGTTCAAAACAAATCCTTGACTTAATTGATAAATTTATGGCAGAGAAAGATCAAAATCCAGTAGATATCATAAATTGGTGCTTGAATGATGAAATTAATCCTACTGTTCAAATTATTCTTGCAAATTGTTACAGGTTGGGTAAATGGATAGAAAAAAATGAATTCAAGGCATTTGAATATTACCAGAAAGCCGCAGACATGGGTAATGCTAAAGGAACATATAATGTTGGTGTTTGTTATAAAAACGGAACTGGTGAAGGACGAAAAAAAAGCATTCGAATATTACCAGAAAGCCGCAGACATGGGTCATGCTCAAGGAACATTTAGTGTTGGTAATTGTTATCGAAATGGAATCGGTGTCAAGAAGGATGTAAACAAGGCGTTTGAACATTACCAGAAAGCTGCAGACATGGGCCATGCTAAAGGAACAGGTAGTGTTGGTTTTTGTTATGAAGATGGAATTGGTGTCGAGAAGGATGACAAAAAGGCATTTGAATACTTTATGAAGTCTGCAAATCTAGGAGAAATGCAAGCAATGATCCGGGTTGGTGATTGTTACAGAAATGGTGTCGGGGTATCAAGAGATATTCATCGAGCCAATCATTGGTACCAAAAGGAAAGACGTATGAAGAGATCGAAATCATCAGCATGCGAACAAGATATTCATGATGATCTAAAGAAATTATTGGACAATGAGCAATATCAACTATCATGGATCCCTTACAACAAATTTGAAGACATAAAAGAGATCGGTAAAGGTGGATTTGCGACAGTATTCAAAGCTCGTTGGCTTGACGAAATTAGGAGTGTTAATTTATGGGTTGCACTTAAGTCTGTTAATGGGTCAAATGAAAATATCAAAGAATTTTGGCAAGAATTGAGATTGTATTGTGAGATCGGGATATCAAGACATCCGAAAAATGGAGAATACTTGATCGTTATGAAATATGCAGCGAACCTTTCTCTACGTAATAATCTTCGTGAAGTATCGAGAATGGAATGGAGAAAGAAATTAAACTTGTTACACTGTATCGCTAGTTACCTCGAATCGATTCATTCTCAGGAACTCGTCCATAGCGATTTCCATAGTGGAAACATCTTGCAAGATCATTTACACAGTGCGTACATCACGGACCTGGGGCTCACATCTGATATTAAATCAAGTAACGAAATTAAAGGCGTTTTACCTTATGTCGCTCCTGAAGTCTTACAAGGTCAAGAAATGACACAAGCAGCAGATATATACGGGCTGGGAATAAATAACAACGGGAATTAGGGCTTTTGATGGAGAGAATTTTGGTACTAATCTTACAATTCAAATCCTTAAAGGTAGGCGGCCAGGATTTGCATTAGGAACACCAAATTGTTATATCGAATTAACTGAACAATGCATAGATACAGACCCGAAAAAACGACCTACCGCAACTGTCATTAATCATTGTATCGGTTATTGGCTTTACCAAATGGATCAAAACAACAGAAATGACTTCAAGAAGCAATTTTCGGATGCTGACAAAATCAAATCTGAACCTCCTGAACCCAAACATTCGATATCAATGTATACTAGCAAGTTGATTCCTTGTACTAAATTAATTTCTAATATTGATAGTAAATTACAAGATTTGACTATTGGCGATACTCCGAATAGTAATTAAATTTATGAATAATATGATATTAAAATTATGATTATGATTTATTTATGAATGTATGTCGGATTATTATTTAAGAAATTTTTATGTTTAATATAATATTGTAACAAAAAGATTAAAGATTAGTTATAATGTTATTTTTTGTATTGGTTAGTTGTTATAATTAAATAACATTTGTATGATTATCTAAATTTCTAAAGAAAAGAAGAATAAATACTCATGTGAATATTTTCGTATTTTTCACATTTACCTGGATCTTTCGTGTATCTTGTATATACGAATATTATTAGTAAGTGGGTTGAGCACACACGCGACAACGCTGTGATCGTCCAACATATACCTGCCGATCACGTGATATTAGTTTACGTGTTAAGTAAGTTTATCTTATATTAGATATAAATATAATGTGATTAAACTTGAGTATAATTATTGAGTTATACTGTTTATCTGAGACGAATGTCAGACATTTGAGTTTCATGTCGTTAATTTTATAATTATAAATAACGAGGATATTTTACTAAAAACATTAAAATGCAATCTACAAGACAACAAGCTATTCATCCGATATGGGATTATTTTGTTTAAAATCATTATATAAATGTATTATGTGCGTTTGTACATACCATAAAAATGTATCACTAAATACAATCAAAGATCATTTTAAGCGTCAACATGATAATAAATATAAATCAATTGAAGAGCAGGTAAGTAAATAATTCAGTGTAGAAATTATCATCACGTATGTTAATTTAATATGTTTGATCGGTTTATTACTTATGAAAATCTTTTAAATGGTGAGTTTCACATTTATTGCGTATGATCATTTCGGACACCAATGACAGAGACTGATCGTTATTTACTGTTTCAGTCCATGCACGTTTGCGTAATGGTGAGTAACATATTCGTCTTTATAAATACGGGTGTGGGTAAGAAAAATATTACTGAGAAGATGTTAATGAGTCTCAAAAATCCTATCTTGTGGAATGTATCGTAGAGTACATTAACATGATACTTAGGGATACGAGATTAAACATTCTTCTCAGATATATGAATGAAACGGGTTCCTACACCCGAATGATTGCTGACTAGTAACTTTTGTTACTAACGATGCTTTTCAATGTAGGAGTATCTAAGAATAAAAAATAATATTACATTAAATACAATGCGTAATGTCACTGTTATAGAAGATGATGAAGAATATATTACGGAATTACCCACGCGACCTATTGTTAATAAAGATTCCATTTATGAGGTTAAAGATAAATATATGTTAAATATACAACATAGTATTAAAAATTCGATTTCTGAGAAAGAGGATGTTGATTTGAAGAAAAATTTATCATTTGATTATGGTAGTAAACGACAAAAAATTGGAATTATTATCGATGATAAGAATATAAATTTTCAACTAAAAGAATCAAGATTAGTTATGAATAAATAATGTTATTTTTTTTTTTTATAGTGTTGAGAAGAATAAAATAAATAAATACTTATGTAAATATTTTCATATTTTTATAAAATACCAATCTAAAATGATTTGAAATATTTTAATGTATTATCCTTTATTTTATTGAATTGAGCACACACGCGACAACGGTAGATCCCAAAGATCCAATGTTTCAAGTATTTATGTTTAATATTACTTATTTTAATTATATATAGACAATGTAATTCTTTAAATAAAATAGTAAAATGCAAAATACAAACAAAAAGAATTTCACCCGTTATTAGGGCAATTTATGACAAATCCCGATAAATCATTGCTTAAATGTACGAAATGTGATCAAATATATAAAAGTACTCCTGCATTGAAAAGCATCATTAGTAACAAAAATTACAGAGTCAGCAATCGTTCGGGTGTAGGAACCCGTTATTTTCCGTCAAGTGTTTGAGCAAGATGTTTCTCGCTCCGTTGAAATCTCTGTCTACAAACAGATCACAATGATCACATCTGAAATCTTTGGATGATTTATCGTTCAGTCTTCCACAATGACCACACGTCTTGCTAGTGTACTCTTCGGTACACTCAACAATGTTAGTGCCGTACTCTCGAGCCTTGTGCCTCAAGAAGTACAGGAACTTGCGGTGTGACCATGATATCAAGCGCTTGGTCGTTTCCTTATTGATCCTTCTCTGTTTCTTATTAACCATGTCCTTGGTTCTGAAATCCGGGATCAGTATCTGAGAATGATGTTCACACAAGTACTTTGCCGCTTTACGATGACTGTCATCTATCATGTTTCTGATCCTTTTGTACGTCTTGAGTATCTTGTTTCTCAGACGATGTCTCTTTCTCTTGTTCTCAGGACCAAGAGATGTATCTATTATCGATTGGTATTTGAAACATCTGTCCTGTATGTCTCTAATCTTTTGTATATCGTTGTTACCGATCTCGATGACGCTACCTCTAGGGTTGTAACACGTGAGAAAAGTATGTGAACCCGGATCAATAGATAGAATACCGTTTGACATCCTGGTTTTCGTCTCTAGTGGAACTGGTACGCACATCCAGAACCTGTTCAATCTATCCAACTTGACTCTAACTGCGTGTTCAACCTCAGGCTTTGGTTCCTTGGTCTCGATATGTTTAAGGAACTTGTATTTTTTACCACCTTTGGTATTCCATTTTCTGGCTTGAACGACAAAACATCTTGTTTTTCGTTTCTTCATCTCAAATCTTTTGTTTTCGTTAATCTTGATAGCATTCAACAAATCAATCACAGCGTCACCCCTAACATCATATGGTACTGAAGATATCCTTGCGTCTACACTATCCTTGTTCACACATAATCTTTTCAGGTGAGTGATACCCTTTGATTCACCGGAATTGATCAGTTCCAATGCACGGTTATAGGTCCATGTGGATGCCCGCATCCATTCTTTCAAGATTCGTTTCTCCTCATCGTTTGGATACAGTCTGATCTTACGTGTCTTTAACAGACCGTTAACTTTTTTGTTGGGTATGACTGTTAATCTATTGACCTCTTTTTTCTCATTACTTTTGAATATGATTTCAGGACTATCGATATCGTTTATGGATATTTGTTCATTTACCGAGAACCATGAACCTTTGCTTCTCTTGTGAATTACATCATCATTGATCCAGAGATGTTGTGATAACTTTAATGTATTCTCGGTCCAGAATGGTTTAAATTTGTGTCTCTTGCGTTTGTTCATGAAGAGAAACAACTTGCTCAAACACTTGGCATATTTATTATACTCACCATTACGCAAACGTGCATAGTCTGAAATGATTAATAATTGTCAGTTTATATGATTGGTGTATGAAATAACCATACACAATAAATGTAAAACTCACCGTTTAAAGATTTTCATGGGCTAATAAGTCGATTGAACGTATTTAGTTAGTATACAAGATGATAATTTTTATATCGAATAATATTTTAAGCACCTGTAAGAATAAATATTATCGAAGGATTTTTCTTAAAACATCATAATCATGATTATAATTTGGTTATAGGACTATATTTAAAAGTAATTAATAAAGACATACCAAACTTAGGACCTAATGTGATTGTTATAGATGATGTCTTAATGATCAATTTACTCCATGTAATATAAAAGATAATATCATTCGAAAAGATGAGGATAATTCTTTAAATAAATTTATATCTATTGGAAATGCTATTTATAATTTTTTAGCGATTTTTATTGTTATCGAGTTGCATATGGATAGGGGTACGAACACAGCCGCCATTATTACGATGAGTATTACCAATATAATCATCCCGTCTTTTATCATATGACTAAGAGGAACTACTGGAGCTAGACGAAAAATTCACCCGTGATACAATCATTTTATCGGGTAACAATACGTGACCTGTTGTACGACAATCTGATTGTATAAACTAAAAAAAATTCTCATTCTCATCCAAAAAAAACTAAATACATAATAACTATGTCCACTGGAGAAAAAGTTCCACTTCTTACAATCAAAGGAGTAGAAGGATTAAGGGAAACAGAAGATTTAATAAATTTTTTGCGCGAACAAGTCTTAGGACTTGATGATGATGATTTTAAGATTTTCTATGAACAAAAAATTAAAGGACAGAATTTCCTTCGACTGAACGTGGATAAACTCATGAGCTATGGTTTATAAGGAGGGCCAGCCGAAACTATTGCTGAATTTATTGAAAAAATCAAGGGCGAGGGACAAGGTAAAGTACCACGACCACATTTGAATATTCAAACATAAATTGCTTTCTCCGCAATAATTTCATTCATTTTTTGATAACTTTTATCCTCAGGCCAGAAGAAAGAAGCGGATATAACTTTAAGTAAGTTGATTAACTTTACGAATCAGGAGAGAAAATCGTATGAAAAGCTTTTAATAATAGTGTTTTTCTTTTTTACTCTATCGATAATCAAGCTATAGACGCTAAGATTTTACAATATTACCAATGATATAATAATGAACATTCTGAAGCTTCTGATAAAGTAAACTTCATGAATTTTATCACTCAATATGTGCCAGAGCATCCTGAAGATTCCTATGAAGATGTAGTAAAAGCATTTCAAGAATCACAAGGTAAGCAAACAACGTGATGATACTTGGAAAACTATTGTAACAGGTGTTATTGTTATTACTTTATCATGAGAAGGTTCTTTATCCATTTTTATCTCGTACATATATTTATATCTTTATATTTAGGTCAGGAGAAGGTGGATACAGATTCAAGAAAGTTGATTAATTTTATGAATGAAGAAGAGGAAATTGTCCGGAAAGCTTTTGATAGAGCTTTTCAAGATCCAAGTGACCTTTCGGAAAGGTTCATGCTCTTTATTAACAAGTGTTCGCGTGAATACAAAATGACAAAAGACTATTATGCGCCATATACAACCTTAATTCAAGCCAGTGGCACAGGAAAATCAAAATTATTGAAGAATTTTGCAGAAAACATAATGTCCGTATATTGCTGTTTGCGTGACTTCAAATCAAGCGGCTATCCATCCAGATCATATATTGCCAATACATTATTGCGTGAGTTTGAGAATGAACGAGATGCCATAGTCACCTACCTCGCATACATATGCACATGTTTTCAAAAGTTGCAGGAATTCAACGGGAGTCGCAGAGACTGGATTGATGAACATACCAACAAAAATTCTCAGGTGGATTTCTGGAAGGATGTTGAATACAGAATAACTGATATCACACGTGAGCTTATGAAAAATCCTACAGATAGTGAGATGGCTGAAGGGATCAATAAGTACTTGTATGGAGAAAAAACAATAAAACAAAAAGGTTCAGTTAAATGTCTGTTTGCATTTGATGAAGCTCGTACTATGGTTAATAAAAAGGTTGAGAAAGAAACCCTGTTCTACTATATTCGACGTGCTTTAAAACTTATACATAAAAAGGTAGGAATTTTTGCAATCTTTATGGACACACACTCAAATATTTCAAATTCTCGCCTGTTTTCTATCTCGATCCGTCCAAAAGAGTCGCGGAAGAGGGGTCTCATTATTCGAGCTGTTCTATTTGTTAGACACCGTGGATATAAACACTGATTTTAAACAAGTACCGATACTGAAAGATTCTGAAGATCCGCAACATTTCTTTCAGTATGGAAGATCTTTGTGGGGTGCACTATTATCACCTTCTAGTGAAACTAAAGAATTCAAACCAGAACGTATTATCGAATTGGCCATGGACAAGCTTATTGGTGGGAAGTCTTTCATTCTTTGGAAAAAAGAATCCCAAAATAAAATTAGTATCATGGAATCTTTGGCTATCCTTGGATCCCATTTATATATTGACATAGTGCCACAGTCTAGATATACATCTCATTTAATAGCAAGCTATATGCACCTTTGTCTTGATATCTCAGAGGATCGTGAAGCATTATTACATCGATGCCTAGTGAACCTGTACTGGCAGAGGCGAGCACTCGAATAATGAATGATCCAGATGTCTGCTTCACAGAACTTATTAATCAGCTCTCTTCAGCACTTAAGAAAGGCGTAGTAGAGACTGGTTACTGTGGAGAGCTTACTGCCAGGTTATTACTTCTTAAAGCCTGGGATGATTGTAATAAAAAGAAACACCCAAGTGGTACAGATCTTGGCAACGATTATTCTCATTTCATGACCATAAATGAATTTTTACGATCACTACTCGCGGACAATATTTATGAGAAAATAAAGAATCGCCTTGAAGAAAGTAATGTTTACAAGAATGAAGTTCGGCGAAGCTTACATTAAGTTTACACACTTTATCAATATTACGTATACCTTGAACAGGATAAATCTTAGGGATGCTCTAATTTGTAGTGTTGCGTTTTCGTATAAACGAAATCAACGAGGCGTAGATATCATTATACCTATGTATATAGGCACTCTTTGTGAACAGTTTAATGAAGATCGTATTTCATACATACTAATACAAGATAAAAATTGGTCTACGCATAATAAAGGCGATAACTACTTACTTTATGCAACGGCTTTTCTGTCGCCAGCATATACAGGTATTGAGGAACTTCCGCATATGCCATTTTTATCATTGTATTTGCAATTAGGTGCAACAACAGAGTTTATTGACATTCCGAAAGAGTTTGTTGAAATGCGCCAAACACGTCAAGTCATTTCGTGTAAACGTAAAATCAAAGAAGTACTAAAAGATTATAAAACGGATAATAATGAAACAAGAAAGGAATTTTTCAAGAAGATTAGAATTGATTATGAAAAGGAAGTTTCGGGTGCCGAAATCACAGCGTTCCGAGAGCATTTTCAAATCTCACTTGGATTGTTTGGATTATCTTTGAATGTTTACAATTGTCTGGAGCAGTTTACACCAGTTTCTACAACCTCATCATCGGCCTCGAGTAACAATCTCACAAATAGCCTTAAGCATTTATTGTCTGCTTGGGTCAATCCCGCAATAGAAGGAAATCAAAAATGAAGATAATTAAACGCATAGATCCAATGGTATACAAGATGGAGGAGTAAAAACATGGATCATGTACAGTATGTTAGTTAGGTGAGGGTGTGCATATGGTTGTCAGGATTTTATTCTGACATATTATGATAAGATGAGATTTAAACATAAATTATTTATTTATGAATAAAATATTATGATAAGATGAGATTTAAATATGAATTATTTATTTATGAATAAAATATTATGATAAGATGAGATTTAAACATGAATTATTTATTTATGAATAAAATATTATGATAAGATGAGATTTAAACATGAATTATTTATTTATGAATAAAATA